CCCCCCCCCCCCCCCCAAAGCCTTCTAGAAAATCTTAGAAAGACCCCCTACGGTGAGCCACTTCAAGGCTCTTTCAACCCTAAATCCCCCTCAAGCCTTCTATAAAGCCTAAAAGGACCCCTAAGCCCTAAACCCTAAACCCACTTTAAGGCTCGTGGGCTGCTGCGGCCTCGGAGGTTTCAACTCCTCATGGGGCCTCGCGGAGTTTGCCTTGCTCCTCTCAGGCGCGGTTTAGGGTTTAGGGTTTTGGGTTTTGGGTTTAGGGTCAGGGTTTAGGGTTTGGGTTTAGGGTTTAGGGTTTGGAAATCTGGGGTTGAAAGGAGTTTAGGGTTCGTTAGAGTATAATTTGTCACTTCAGCTTCTTCTAGGTGATTGTAGTTTGTTACAGTTTGGTATAGACTGTTATGATTTTTTATGGTTGAATCATCTTGGTTTGTTGGCTTTTTCCAGGGTTCTCGTTGGGCATGAAGAGTCCCTTCTCCAAAAAGGTGGTTCAGTGCCTTACTCCTCATCTCTCTGGGGTTGGGGGGGCTGCTTGAGTTGTAAAAAAGGGGTTGTGTGGGCCTTTGGGGAATTCGGGTTTTGCTGGACATCTACCGGGTTGTGTGATTGGCGGATTTTTGGGTGGAATCCGCACGGAAAGACCAGTGCATCTCGTAGGATGTCGCGGTTTGTGACATGGCTGTCGCAGAACCTAAACCCGCTGCTGGGGTTGCTTCAAACGACCTTCAGCCATTCATGACCCTCCCAAACACATGCATTATTTCACTTGCTTCAACGTTCTCGGCTTTTGGCATTTGGCTCGAAAGCAACAGGGCCTGGCGTTGTTCCTAGGTTTCTTTAGGGGGTTTTGTTCGGTGCCTGCCTTCTGTGGCACATCGAGGGTGCTTAGGGCTGAGTTTGGGGTTTATGGCTTTGTTTGGGTATGGTGCCTGGAACCCCAACCCTAAACCCCAAACCCGCAGCCCCAACGTTTGAATTTCCCAGGCCACGTGTTCCTGAAGGATCGAAATCACAAAGCTCATTTTTACAGGATGGCCTTTTCCATAGCCGTTACCCGGCGTATCATAGATTGAGGGTTTAGAGTTTAGGGCAATCTGAACTATAAGCGAGCTGATTGAAAGCAGAGGGTTTAAGGTTCAGGGTGCGCTCAGTGGGGTGCTGGCATTCATCAAGTCCAGATGCAAAAAAGGGTTAGCGAAGGAGATGCAGTTGTCACTGTGATGATGACCCTTATTGTAGGAGAAGTTACCAGGTTGTGCTCAGTCATGGCTTCTATAGCTGTGCGGATTGCCTTTCTGAGCGGCGAAGAGCACAGAATCTCGGGACAGGGTTCCGATATCAGGACTTGGCGATTGACTGTCGCCTGAGGTTGCGTAAGGCATGTGTGGTACATCTCGCGACATTTTCCATGTCTGTGACTTCTGAGACGAGGACTCTGCTTATGTCGCCACGGTATTGCAAGCTAAGTTATGCAGAAGGCTGCAAGCTTACAACCCGATGCGTTCAGCAGCCAAGGAATCACTGTGCCAGTCCTTGCCACTACGCATGACCTCCGGTCGATTGCGGAGATGAAGATGCAGTTGGATTCGAGAGCACTGCTGTCCCGGTTGATGCTTAAGGTTTGGCCTTCTTTGGATATTCCGTAGGCTTTTTGTTGAAAGTTTGGGTCTGTTTAGTAGATGTTTTATGTTAGCCTGAGTCATTGTAATCTAAACGAGCACACTCTGGCGTTCATTTGGCAGGAGCTTTAAGCTTCGATGATCCTTGAGCCCCGGACAAACCGAGCAGAGTCCATAGACACCCCTAGTATAGAAGCCTAAATAAATAATTACCTATATTATTGTGGAGGCTCCTTGTTATAACTATACTATAAAGAGTTATTTTATTTTAATTTAATTATTGAGGCTTCTACAATTACCCAAGGCAAAGGAGTCTGGGGAAGCTGATCTCCGCCAGGGGAGCCGTTATGCTGGCACCCCGGCAGCTCAGTGAGGAAACTTGTCAGGTTGCAGGGCGTAACGTTTAGGGTTTAGGGTTTAGGGTTTAGGGCCCTAAACCCTAAACCCTAACTCCTGCCAAAGCTCAGAAAACTCATCAAGCACTAAACCCCTCAACCCTGATAAACCCCCTCAACCCCGAATCCTCATGGTGATGGCGCACGGACTGGGTAACTAAGGCTTCAAGAACACTGGTGCAGGAGGGCGTTGAAGATGGTGACTTTGCAGCTCTTGGGGGACTTTTTGTTGTTGTTTTAGCTCTTTTTTGGGGTTTATAGTCTCTTGCACAAGGTTCTCTACCTCTGCGCATATGTACGTTTAGTGTGTGCTTTCCTTCTAAAGCAATGTGGGATGGAGTGAGTGCCTTCATCAGCTTTGTCTTCTTGAGGTGATGTCATCACTGCCATCTTCCAAGATGTGGCTGTTGCAGCAGCCAGCAATGCATTTGCTGCGATTCGCTCAGATGGCAGCGTTTCTCAAGGACCAAGTGAGCTCTAATCGATTTCTTTTTATGTCTTTTATCGCAGTTCGTGGTTAAGAGGTAAGGTAAAAAAGCCTGAACTCCACACCCTAAACACCAAGACAGCCGTACACCCTAAGGTGGGAAAACACCCTAGGTTCAAGGTTTAGGGTGTTGGGGGAGTTGGAAAGTACTTAGTAGCCAGAGTTTCAGTGCCTGGACAGGGATCTTAATCGGGATGTGACACTTATAAAATTTACTCTGTTCCCTGAACCTCTAGCAGTAAGGTTGTGGCATGGGGGGATCCGCAAGGGGGCGGAGATTGCAGCGCAGTTCAGAAGCAGCTGCAGCATGTGCAGCCCGGTACTGTAGAGGTTTCAGGGATCAGCGTTTTAATTTAAGGTTTAGAGGGTCTATAGGCTTTAGGACGTAGTTTTCAGGTAGAGCTTAGAGAAGGCACTTGCTCACCACCGTGTTGAAATTACGACCTCAAACAATGATCGCAGTTCCATCACTGTAGCAACCTTTTCTGCCCAGATCACCAGACCCTAGTCCCTGTTTTTGAGCAGGGATTGCAATGCACTTTCAGTAGCCCTGAATCCCTTCAGCCAAGCTCTGCGCCAGCGCTCATGGCTGAGCACGAAGCGTGTTGCGCTGTCTGCAACCACTGATCTGGGACTACTTGGAAAGACACGACCTTTGCTCGATCACGATAAGCATGACGACTACAATCACACATCTCACATTCATGAATATCAAATAGATCACCTGGAAGTAGGAGCTGATAGGATACTTAGCTGCCACAGAATTGCACATATCCGACTATTCCGATAATGTGCGCTTGCCAAGTGTGTTCAGAATAGCAACGACTGCATCACTGCCATCCATGCTCTATCAAACCAAGAGGCTACCAGAAAATCACCTACAAGACCGAGGTAAATTCAGATTGCCCGAGACGTGCATTGAATGAGTGGATGATTTCCTCACTGGCTTGGCTTTGAACAAGTAGGAGGCTTCTTATGGCCGATAGCAACAAGAATTGAATTTCTGGATCCCCCCCATGTAGCGGTTTGATGAAGTGAGGCAATCCATTCAAGCAGCGTGGGGTGCCTTCGCAGCTCTTCGCACTGATGGTTCCGTCGTGACCTGGGGCGATCGTGACGGTGGGGGCGACAGCTCTTTGGTGCAAAGCCAGCTTTGCAATGTTTCCCAGATTCAATCGACTGGACTGGCTTTTGCTGCCATCAAAGAGGACGGAGGCGTGGTAGTTTGGGGTTCTCGGGATGGTGGTGGCGATTGCCGTGCTGTGCGTGATCATCTCTATAGCGTGCGACAAATTCAAAGCAATAGCATGGCTTTTGCTGCCCTTCGTGCAGACGGATCTGTTGTATCCTGGGGCGCCCAATTGGGATATGGCAGCCATAGCTCTGCTGTTCTTGATGAACTGCAGGAGGGAGTTCTGAATATCTACAGCCTGAGCATCTACAGCCACGACTTCGCGGGCCCCTAGCAGATGAGTGTGCTTCAGAATTTAAGGACTTCGAGTTTGGGGTACCAGATAGGGTAGTTGAGTGTAGCCTTTTATGGTCTAAATGTCTGGGCTGTCTACAACGCAAGTAGAACTACCAAGTTTCCTAGTCACGAACTGAACAACCAAGGTTTTGCTGCTATCAAATCAGGTGGTCGGATTGTTTTTTGGGGCGATCCTCTCTTGAACGGCTTGGTCCACTCGGGGCTTGACGACATTGCACATCTCCAGGCGGCCTGGCGGCCAGCCAGCCCTGTAGCAGGTAGTTATACAGTATTAGGCCCCATGGACGACGCCCTCCTACTTAAAACCGTGAACCCTAAACCTCAAACCTAAAACGCTGAAGCCTAAACAGTTATCAAACCCAATTAAAGCCCCAAGCCCGAAAAATCTCAACCCTAAACCCCAAACCGGAAGTTTTACGCCTGCTTCTTGAGGTTGCTGGGGGACGGTGGGCTGCTGCCTCGCAGGATGGACACTTGGCACTCAGCCTTCGGTCCATCCGAGGCGACAGGTCGGGGATTTCCGAAAATAGGTGACCCTAATATAGTACCCTAAATAATAGGATCCTTATTAGAAGGACCCCAAAATAAGGTACCCCTACTTGTCGGAAACTCCCAGGTGCCTGCGGGTTCCGGAATGTGCGGGTAGCCTCGTACGTTGCAACAATTACCTTGCTGTGCTTCAGAAAGATGGAACGGTGCAGTTCTGGGGTCGCATCGCCCCCACCTGGCTTCGGAATGAATTGAGCAATGTCGTTCGACTTCGGATGGCCTGGGAACGAGGTGCAGCCATCCGATCAGATGGGTCGGTTGTGGTGTGGGAGTTCACAGGTACTGGTGCGAAGCCGGGTGCCTCCGCACTCGTGCGCAGCCAGCTGACGGATGTCAAAGATATACATGCAAACCCCTTTGCCTTTGCTGCACTTCGACGAGATGGGTCTGTTGTGACCTGGGGAAATGGCCTGTACGGAGGCAACAGTGCCGCCGTGCAAAGACAGCTAAAGGACGTGGTCAGCATTCAAGCGGGCGGTTTTGCCTTTGCTGCAACTCGTCGTGATGGATCCGTGGTGTCATGGGGCCTGCCAGCTGGTGGGGGCGACAGCAGCCTGGTGCAAGAACAGCTTGGCCATCGAATTGTCGACAAGAAGCGAGCTACCATGTCAAGGGAGGCAGCGAAAATCAAGGCTGTCCCCCATACGAGGACCAAGTCCCGAGTCTTGAAGAAGCCTTCGAAGAAGAGCGCGAAGTAGTAGGGAGCGCAGCATGCGCAGCATGAGCAACAGCAGTCAACGCTGCAAGATGGACTGAACCTCAAATTTGCACTGTGTTTGCTGATGTGGGCGCAAGCCAGAATAAGCCTTAACCAGACCGCAGCTGAGCAAAATTCAGGGAGGCGTTTTTCTTGAGTTTATCGCCGTATGTGGCAGGGAGTTTCAAGGTTTATGGTCAAGTGGAGTTTCCCGGCTGCTTGCAGGAGTCCTGGATGCAAAAAGGTTTGTCTTGACTGTCACTGTCACTATTGCTCACTTTCATGCAGACTCTGCTAAAAGACATCAGAAAGTATGCCTCAACACCGGAGTCCCTTTCCTTCCATGAAGCATAAACCCACTACATACTGGCGATGATGGAGCGGACCTTGAACTATCTGCGACCCCCCAAGATGTTGAAGCGCCAATAAAATTCTCAATCGATTCAGACTTGTCGGCTTTGGGCTGCAGAGCCTCTCCTTTTGCTCCGGGCTCTGCGTCTTTGCCTTCCAGCCCTTCAACCCATACGCGGACCCGAAAGAATTTACACAATATGGTTGTGTAGGGTTTTCGAGTGGGAAAAGGTTGTTTTCAAATGCCTGGCCTGGACGAGAAACTGCATCTCGGTTTTAGGTTGTAGTGAGAGGGCTGACTAATAGGGTTGGCTTCGGTTCCCCGGTATGTTTGTGGTGTAGAACCACCAAAGGCCTGGTCTGATTAGTCACGCTCCTCCCGTATAGCGTAGGGTTGATACTAGCTTGGTAACTGTACTATGAATTTCAGAGAGTGTACATTTGGGTATCTGAAAAGCCCTACTTCATGAGAGTCTGACCTGCTTTGAGGCCTTGTGTGTGCCGTCCTCACGCTCTTGGCACAGAAGTCCAACGTGTCCGTCTCTGCCGGCGGAGGCCTTGAGGGCACATGTGCACCTTACGCTGAAGAGTACACGTCTCCGTATGTGTGTATGTCCATACATACATACATACAATATGCATATAATATATAATATATCTATAGACATATATATATATATACCGGTATACATATAGATATATAGCTATAGATGTATGTGCATGTGTATTATATTGTTATATAACATTATATATATATATACACACATACACGGTGAGTCCTCCGTGTGTACATTGCTGGTGCTACGATTGTTGCACATCAGTTTCTGTTTTGCTGCTGCGTGGTGGTGGTGTGTTCTTGTTGTTGTCGTCGCAATTGCGGATACCATGATGATGACGACGACAACGAAGAACACAAGAGAAGCAAGTGTTCCAACAAGGAAGTGCAACAAGCAATGCAATCACGCTTGGATTCCTTGAGCCAAATGTGTGTTTGTTCAGTCTATGGTCTGTCCTAACCTACACACCTATTACGCCTCTAGGGAACATGTCCGGGGCACGTGTTGCTTTAGCTCCCCCGTTTGGGACATGTCCAAAGCTTCGGCCTGTACAGATAGTGACTGTGCATCTAGATCTGTCTACGGCTAGGTTGCTAGCTGAAGACCTGGTTCGTGTAGCGTGTGCCGGTCATCAGGATTCATGTTCTGTGCATCTTTGATGCTGAAGGCAACTGCTGTGAATCTTTGACTAGGGTTGCTGGTGGCAACGGAAGAATGCCATCGTCTGGGGTCAAACATCGCAGGACTCTTCAGGAGAAATCCCTGCATGTTCACTCCTGGCACGGGGCTGGGGAATCTCCGGGCTGATCCCCAACCCAAAAGACCGCATCTGCACACAGGATCAAACTCACGAGTAAAGTCCCGGAGCCCGGTGCGTTGTGTGAATCCTTGTGCAGTGGTGCCATGCAACCTTCCTGAAGCACTACCATTGTGAAGCTAGGAATTAGCTCATCTATGATTCCTCCGTGAACGAAGGCACCAGATGCAAAAGAATGCACATCACTTGCAGCATCTGCTCTTGGAGACGTTTCTCGCGGCAGATAAGGTAGCAGTTGTACAAAATGTTGGTTGTTTATGCGCTGTGGCAAGCTGCCAGCAAAAGCTTCAGCTTGTGCCACATCATCAGGTAAGATGGTCGAAGCTTTTTCTTCCCTGGGTACTAGCTTAGGACCTAGTTGCACAAGCATCTCGGGCCACTCGCACGGGCTTATTACTTTAATGAGTCCGTTTGCTATCCGGTCCTTTGTGGACAGTACGTCGCGACAACAAGGTCATCATCCATCTGCGCTGACATGGAGGCGATGTTTATGCGGTGCATTCTACCACACTGTCTTAGCTTTGCCCTGGGTCTTGCGCTGGCCGCCAGCGAGAATCGTCAACAACGTTTCGTTGTCCTGATGGTATGTTGACTTGCAACAGTGACCCAACAGGTGCTGCAAGAATGACTGGATGTTTATGGTTTCGGCATGCATCGCGGTACTCATAGCGGTCGCTTCTGCCTCAAGGGTTGAGCGCTCTACGGAAGACTGCTGACGAGATGACCATAAGACAGGAAATCACGAAGACCCGGTTTCGACATAGATGAGGATACGCGATGTGGATTTGCTTATGAAAAAGGACAGCTGCCGAAATCTGCATCAGTGTACACGACGATCGGGGATATGCTGGCGGTTACGGTGGTGACGGTATCCACCGCCAGGGGGGTAGAGCTGAAGATGAAGAGGACCTTGAAGCAGCCACCTTGAAGTACAAAAATTTGAAAGACCTTAAGATGCCGCAGCTCCGGAAAGACAGCGTAGGATTCAGGTCATGGAGGAATGCTCTATGGACTCAGTTCGCTGCAATTGATCGAACCGGCCACGCTAGACTTCTGCGTGGGCTACAGGCTTGCCTAAGGCCAGAGGTTAGAAATCGCGAAATTGCATTCCAGTCAGAATAACCCTGCGCAACTTCTTCGATTAGATTCGTTCCTTGCATCGCAGATCTCGGACGCATAGTATGTGAAGGGGGAGTCCGGCAGTTCCCACCAAGGACAACGCGGTCCCAGCCACACCAGGCCTACCAGGCAAACCACCAGAAGGCACGCCAAAAGGTAAGGCCAAGAACAAGGCCAAGGCAAAGGTTAAGGCTGGAGCTAAAGGTGAGGGAAAAGATGACGATAAGGGTAAGGGTAAGGCAAAGGCAAGAATGATTCAAAGGGTCCTCCGCCAAAGGCAGATTCCAGCGCTAAAGCAAAAGCTAATGCGCTTGTGGGTTCTTTCCGATGGGCACATGCAGCCGGGGCAGCGATTGTCCCTATTCGCACGAGGTTGGAGGAAGTGGCAAACCCAAAGGGGCCACATCTTCCGCTGCAGAAATACTACTGTTGCCCACGACAGCATCCGCTGGAAGGGTAGTTAACAAAGTGACGCGTGTTGTCACAACAGCCACTCGCGGATCCAGCACATGCCTTCTGCATACATCTGTAGGGCACTCGCTGCATTTGCCACTTTATCTGTCCTGCTATGTCTGCGGTTGCACATGAAACATGGGCGTCGCCATCCATATCTGCACCTGCCATTCTTTCGCTGCCCGCCGGGGTTCAAAGATCTTCGGGTAATGGAAATACCCTTGAGTGGATAGCGGATTCAGGTGCAGGTCGAAGTTTGCCTTCTTTCGAATCGTTAAGGGCGCAGGGTGTATATCCTCATGACCTCGTGTGTCATAAAGACCAACCGGTCTCTTTTGAGACAGGCAACGGTAGAACTGAAAGCAATAGCACCTTTGACACCATTGGGGCTACGTTTGGAGTTCGTTCATGGTTTGCATTAATTGCCTGGGATGCCGTAGCCTTAAGCGCTTCTGTGGTTTCCGCGCCATTCTTGGTTGGAGGAATCTGAGGCACGCTCGTATTCACAGCACTGGCCTTGACTTCTGCTACCATGGACTGCAAAGTCGCAAACTGACTGTGCAAGTCCTGGTGTTGTCGAGCCAATGTTTCGTTTTGCTGCTTGTGGCTAGCAATGGTTTCGTTTGCCGAAGCTAGTTGCCTTGAAGATTCAATGGATATATACCTCTGAAACCATAGCTTGCGCTTGTTGCTCAATGGCTTGAACCCGGTTTTGGGCTTGACTCTCCATGTTGACGGCCATCGCCTGGACATGACTCTCAGCTTGTTGTTGAACTTCGGAAGCATATGCTACGGCTTGATTCTCAACGATCTGGGCTTGCGCTAGAGCTTAGGAGTGAACCTGAGGGTCAACCCCTTGCACTATTCCACCCAATTGCTGATGCCGGTGTAATTGAACCTTTTTGTGCTGGGCCGTATGATACAGGATTACCGGAGGGTGACGTCCCCGAAGACCTTGCTACTTGGCATGCACACATGTGCTTAGGCTTTGGAGCAGGTTTGTTCCTATGATAGGGACTGGATGCCCTGAAGGGTCTACTTGATGTCACAGCAACCTCTCTACCCTCAGCCGCGGGCCTACTTGTAGCCCTGGGCGAGCTTTCGCTCCCACTACTTTGTTTGTTTGAAGGTATAACCGACAACCCAAACGAGACATCCGGTGCCTGCGCAGCTGCTGCTTCATCGGAAGCAGAAGTGGGCGATATCTGCAGGGGATCCGCCTCCATTTCATGTGAGGACGTCATTGTTACCACTTTGGGTGGCAAAGGCCAATACAACAATGTTCTGTTTATGGAGCTCCCACGAGGATGCGGCTGTGAGCCAGGTTTTGCTTATCGGGGAGTATTGTTGAGCAGAGCTGCGCAAAACAAGGCTGCAGAAGGGTTGTACTCGGCTCTTGCTTACTTACGAGCCCACCATGATGGACAGGATTAAGCAAGGCTGATAACAAAGGTTGTGTGGGAGGCGGAATGCCAACACCACACCGCTGTGATTGGACTTGAATGCTTTGCAACCTGACCAACAATGATTTGCAATCTTCTGGTGGGGACTTTGGTTGTCAACGGCAGACACCGATGACACTTTTCGCACTGGTCACAACCCCACAAGAAGGCGACGGACCGTGCCAATAAGATCACCTCCAGGCGTGAATGTTAAACCATGAATCGGATCGCCAAGCGCAAGCAGGCGTTTAGTCACGCTCTCACCGTCGTCCAAATGCAGCAGGTGGTCAGGTCAAGTGGCAAGGGAAGATGCGAGCTCAACCGCATGCGAAGATCGCGGCGGCAGGAGTCTTTATCACCAGGAGGCCTTGTTGTGGATGCAGTGTGAATGATGGCCGAGTCCGTCCCAGTAGAAGTCACCAAGTTCTGGACAAAGGTGCACGTAACAGCACGATGCCTCGAATGCCAAGGAGCGTGACTGCAAACAAGAATAGCCAGTAGCCGCCAACAGATGCGATCCGACAAGGGTGAATACCTCACGGGCCTGTGTCAAAGGTACCGAATCCAGGACTCCGCGTTGATCAAGCGACACAAGCAATAATGTTCGTGCGTCCGATGTGCATGAAAGTCAGATGCCATCGAAGCTGCCAACTCAGCAGTGTCGTTATCATCATAAGGCTGATAGTCCACGGTTCGGCACTGTGCCACGCGCCGGGATGAAGTAGCAGGCCTCGCCTTCGCTTTTGCAGTCGCAGCAGCAGGCGCATGTGCAGCGGAAGACGCAGCAAAGCCAGAGGAAGAAGCCGATGATCCCGTCACTCCTGCTGACGGTTCCAATCCCTCCACTGCTCTGATGTCCAAGCTAATGTTGTTATCTGAAGTTGCCATACCCGAACTGCGATCATTGAATGATTCTCCAATTGTCGGATAAGTTGTCGAGCCGCCCGATGCTTCGGGACAGAGACTACGCAGCCCCCAGCTGGACGACCTGAATCAACCCGATTCGGGACAGGAGGTACTGGCGTCCTAATGCTTCAGTGGTTCGGCCTAGGAGTTGGTGGATGATTAATTGAACACGGCAAGATGCGAGGCGGGGACCTTGATCTCTGCGCACTAGCAGGTCTCTGCAATCGTAGCGGCTGGTAGCGTAGCTGGCTCTGTGATCGCGGGTGCATTAAAAGACGCGTCCGATCCATCGGATGGCAAAGCCAAGTCCACAGGAAACAATGGAACTCTAGGAGTGTATGCAAAAGACAGGTGCGTAATTAATCTCCGCAGATGGTTGATCACCAGCATCTGAAGATCTCAGCGATCCAATGCTCCCAGCCACGTAGCCAGTAACTCGCACAGCCGACCTGCAACAGCTCTCCTCCATTTTTTTTCTTACCGCCTTCTGTCCGCATTCTGCAGGAGGATGCTAGGGCAGTATGCTTGTCGTCAGCAGCAATGTCCCATAATGGGCCGTGGAATATCGCCGGAAGAAGATCCATACCAATGCTCTGAAGTCTTAAGTAGATTGATGTCACCCTTCGCCGACGCGCTGGCTTAGTCACCCGACCCGGCCGTTAACGTGCCTCTCGAAGGTAATCAAGATAAGGCCCGTTGCCGACGTCTTCACCCTGCACCTGCCGTTACTGCGGCTCTCCACTGTAGCTGTAACCGAGATAAAACCTCGGCGGCTTCGGAGGCTTTAAGCCAGCACTGACGCGATGCAAATGCGGTCTTTGACCTTTGGAAACCATAGGTGAAGCTACATCCAGGTCCGCAAGGTTCGCAACAGCCGAGTCCACAGATTCGACGGCTTGTTGCTTACGATTCGGGCAAGCTGTTTCCCACGTAAACTAACCCTTGATGATTTGGATCCGATGTTTGATGTGCGTTATTGATATGGAACAGCACAATGCAGGTCGTTTTGCCGGACCTACGCAATGGGATTCCAAACTCTACACCCAAGTGCGGTGGAGCTGCAAGTATGAAGGGCTATGGCACAGGTCGAGGCTCTACACTCACCTAGCCACAAACATCCACAAACATGAGCTGAGGCTGTCGACCAGAAGAACACATGAGAAAAAATGTTTTACGAGGAAGTGCAACAAACAATGCAATCACGCTTGTTTTCCTTGAGCCAAATGTTCGGTTGTCCAGTCTTTGGTCTGTCGCAACCTACACACCTATTACGCCTCTAAGGAACATCTCCAGGTTACTTGTCTTTTAGCTATAAATATCTGAATTCTGATTATTATTGTTATCAACATGCTTATAGGCATAGGTGTGTTGTTAATGTTTTTCGCTATAGGTACCATTAGCATTATCGTTATGCCTATCGTGCAACTATAATTGTAATCGCCATTGTTGTTTTGTGTAAAGGGTGTCGGGGTATACACACCTGCCAATACTTGTTTCTCGAGAGTCTTCTTCCGAAAGGACAGGTTGTGCCTTCCTTTCGAAACCCTTTCTGCTTCATCCCCTGTAGAAGAAGATATCAGTGTTTGACAGCGTTCTTGCAGTGCAATGTTGTGCACTTTACTGCTATTGTCTGCCATATTAGATTCGCTAGTTTTTATCAGCTTGTTACTCTTAGTAGTTGATGCATACACATGAAAGTTCAAAATGTAGTTCGTCAACAACCTTGCAGGCGCAGCATCGTGCCTGTGCATTTTAGATCCTTGTCGGACTACACTCATGGTTGTATCATTATGCTTACTACGTCATGCAGTTCCTGCATTTTCGACAAGGGTTGCACTTAGTCTTAGTCTCTTAGAACATCTGCATTTTCGTTCCGAAGCTACCCTAATTAGTCCCCCCCCCCGAAAAGGGAGCTTCAGATTTCAGGAAACTCGAACCCCGGCTGACTTTCAGGCATAGAGTTCGCCATTGGCGTCTCCATTTGCCTGCTGTCTGACGTGGCTGCAGCGGTGAATGTGCTGGTGGTATCGTACTTCGGAGCCTTGACTGCTGAGGGCTCGTGAGAAATCACCTGTACTAGGAGAGGCAAGGGTAAGCTCGCTCACGTCGTATGGTGTTCTGTATTTTCCAGCCCCTTTGCCGCGTTTAAGAGGCAGAAGTAGAAAAACCTGTCACTGTCTCTTCCTCTACTTTTTTTTCTGCCCTTTGGGTGGCGCCTTCGTAGCGTTTGTGGCGAGTCTGTGTGCTGTTGGTATCGCTGTCGTCACCGTGACATTGGCAACGGAACGGGAGTCGGAGAAGAAAACAACTCACAGACTCCCAGCGATTACTCAATTCCCAGGTGCAGAAGTAAACTGAAGCCCATCCCGACTCAAACGAAAAAAACGCCGTGCTGTGAGTCTCCAGGTGGAGTGTTAGGGGGTCTTCAGCGTATTTGGGTATGAGGGGTTGGGGTTTTGCAGTCCCTTGGGCTTAATGCGAGCAGGCAAAAGTCTGGACCCACCGCTGAACTCCTTCGACACTGTGTTCTACATGGCCCTGCCATGTGCTTGCTTTATGCTTGCCGTGGCGGTTGGCTACTTGGCTTGGGCTTCGGGCATGAGCTGGCATTATTATCATTGTTCAAACACCCGAGCCCCCAAGCTTGAGCACCCGGAATCAAGTCAACGTACGGCCGGTTTCCATCCGAAAGTCTGAGATGATGGACCCCTCAATCCCTAGGCCTAAGCCCTAACCCCTAAATTTTAAACACACTAAACCCTTAGCCCTACCATGAACATCTAATTACACCTGAAACCTTGGCAGTTGGGGCTTTAGAGGGCTCCAAATCGGTCTTGCGTGTTTTTCATTTTTTGGAAACATGACAGCTACTTTCGTTTCTGGAATCAGGCAACCTCCTAATTGGGACGCCTAAACCCTAAACCCTAAACCCTAAACCCTAAACCCTAATTGGGAAGCCCAACGGCTGGGAACTTGAAGCCAGGCAGCCTGAGGTCGAGGATCTGTTTTTGGGCCGTTATATGGGGGTTTCAGAAAATAAGGGGTACCTTATTTTGGGGTCCTTATAATAGGGATCCTATTATTTAGGGTACTATATTAGGGTCCCCTATTTTTGGGAAACCCCCATACACTAGCAGGTCGTTTTGTTTGGATATGATTACTGTAGTGATGACTATCAGTAGACTTTTGTTTATTGTAGGGCTGATCTTATTATCCTTTTTTAGTGTGCTCTTGACCTCGCCTCCCCGTGTCGCCATCTCAGCAAACCGAAATCATGGGCCCGAAGGCTCAACATAGCTCAAAAGCCTTATATGGTATGGCCTTTGGGCCCAACATCAGAGTTGCAATTCCTAAACCTTGAACCGTTGTTTCGGTCTCGGGTTGAGGGTTTGGTTTCGGGCTTTTAGTCAGGCCCGCCGGCCTCACCCATCTCCTGTCCCGTCCTGTCTCAATCTTCGGAACCGACGCCTTCCATCTGTCCGAGTTGCTGCCCACCCTGTGGACTGGGTGGGCTACACGGACCTCACCGACATCCAGGCAGGGTTTATGTAAATACACGTGTATATATATATATATATGTAGTTATATATTGTCATACATACATGCGTACATACATACATACAGACAGCCAGGCAGGCAGGCAGGCAGGCAGGCAGGCAGCAGGCCTGTATATATATATATATATAGAGAGAGAGAGACGCACACACACACACACATACCCCTCATAGCACTTCCCCTCCAGCAACACAAAACAAAGCAAATACGCCCACGCATCCACATGTATGTGAAAAATATCCACTTACACCACCAAGAAGGGTTGGAGACTGCGGTTTTCTGCTGTTAGTGCATGTCTTGAGAGGTTGTGGGCTGGCGACTGTGTTCGAGGTAAGGACTTGAGACGAACATTTTGGGGTCAGCGCCTGTTTGCTTGGAGTTCCGGAGCCTCAGTTTCTTTTTTTTTTTTTTTTTTTT